TGGTCAAAATTTACCCAGCCCCCACGAAAGCGAGCTTGTCAGTTTTTCTCAGCCGGGTGTCTGTCTGAAGACAGATCCCCGACTGAGTTACCCACTGCCTGAAGACGGACGACTTGTCTGTTAAGAGCCTGTTAGTGAACTGTCTAACTCAGATGCGACTGATATCTACTCAGTCACTCCATTGAGATGAGTTATGACATAAAGTCGGGATTATTGTGGGGAAGCCGAGAATTTCTACTTGGGCCATTTGATAAAATTTACTCAGCCCCCACGAAAGCAGGATCGGGTACATTACTTGCATGTTTTTCTTAGCAGAGGCTCTATCCAAAGACAGAGAGCCGAATGTGTCACCCTTTGCTCGAAGACAGATGTCTTGTCAGTCGCAAGCCAAGCAACGAACTGCTTGACTCCAACTAATCAATTTTTCTCAGCCGGTTGCTTGACCGAAGACAGAACCTCGACTAAGTCCCCCTCCCTCCGAGGACGGAGGATTTGTCACCATCTGCACTAAGACAGAGGTTTTGTCTTGAAGAGAGCGTGGGACTGAGTTCGATAGTCGCACCCAAAGCGTACTGGATGCGACACAAGGTCGTTTTATTTCGGACACCCGAATGTTTCCACATGTCCATTGGTCAAAATTTATCCAGCCCACACGAAAGCGGATTCGGGTACATTACTTGTCTGTTTTTTTTTTTTTTCAGCTGAGTCTCTATCCGAAGACAGAACCCGGATAGCCACCATGCACCCCAAAACGGGGTCTTGTAAGTCGCAAGGCAGAAAGCGAACAGACTGACTCCAGCTTGTCTATTTTTCTCGGCCGAGTCCCGACCCGAAAACAGAACCCTGACTGAATCAACCTCCGACCAAAGGTCTTGTTACTTGAAAACATAGATCTTGTCACGAGCCTGGGAAAGATTGCGATTTAACTGGTACTTACCGGTCGCACCGTAGCGGTATAGTTGTGACATAAGCTCAAGTCTTATGTGGGGAACACGAGCATTTTCATCCAGGCCACTGGTGAAAATTTACCCAGTCCCCGCAATAGGAGGCTCGGACATAGTACTGGTGTGTTTTTCTCAAACGAGTCTCCCTCTCTCTGAAAACAGTGCCGACTGAGTCACCCTTTGCCCGAAGACAGTGGTCTTTCCACCCTCTGGCCAAAGACAGATGTCTTGTTTTGTCACGAGCCTGTGACAGACTGCGATTTGACTGGTATATAACGGTCTCCGCACTGGTCAAGGTCAAGTTTTATGCGGGAAACCAAAGTGTTTCCATCCGAGCCACTGGCCAAAATTTACCCAGCCTCTGTAAAAGCAGGCACGGGCAGAGCAATGATCTGTATTTTTTTTTTTAGCCGAGTCCCTATCTGAAGACAGAGCACCGACTGAGTCATCCTCTGCCTGAAGACGATGGTCTTGCAACCCTCTGACCGATGACAGACGTCTTCTCTTGTCGCGAGCCTGGGTCAGTCAGTTATATGCCGGATGTGATACACGCTTAGGCGATCACGTATCTTTCGATACATGACTGACGAGGCAGATTTTTCCCGCAGTAGATTGTCATTTCTTTCTGCAGTAGACCAGTTGACATCAAAGACGTCTTTCCTGCTATTTACCCATAGATGGGGAAAAAGATGAGGATTTTTCAAGGGTATCTGAACGTAAGTGAATGTAATGGATTCGACTGGGATTCGAACTTGGCTCTCCGATTCCTCAATTCGGACCGCTATCCATTACTCCACCGTACCGCCCCATTTAACTACTACTAACCTAATAACATTGAACTCTTTATAGTATTGGACGAGTTGATAGAGTCACTGGGGCTGTATGTTTTATTCCACGGCAATATTACATCATAATATAACTGAATTTTTCATTCTAATTTCCCGTTGAAGTAAATGGAGAACATATTTGATGGCACAATGATTTAGCAATAATCTACTTGTACATATAAAATTTGTAGAATTTCACTAAATTATAAATTTTATAAAGCTAAGCCTAAACTCGTTCCGCACCCCCCCAAAAAAAGGTAATTATTTGGAGATATATTTTGTATCATTATTCATCATGTGAACTCCCAATTTTTAAATTGAGTGCAATACAACCGTTCCAAAAAAACCTGCCCTACAATATTTAGCTATCCCCCCACGTGGGATTGAATGTGGCACAAGGCCGAGTTTTATGTGGGTATCCCGAGTACGTAGGCCTGCCCTACTGGTACAAAGCGCCTCTTCTTTGCACCGTAAAGTTAACTATCAGTAAAAGCTGAAATACAAGTATTTCTGTTTTGAAATGATCAAAATGGAAAAGATTTATTTCGTATCCAAGAATTTACTTTCTTCTTTGCTGATCGCTTCCTTTATGATGACTAAATTCGCTACCAACGTACAGGTTCAGCACTAAAACCTTCCACTTTCACCAAAACCTCGTCCCGTCATCTATTCCCCATCGCAATTTGGCTACACAAGATTTGGTTGAGGAGGAAACAAAATCAATATAGAAGGTGCCAATGACGAATTTGTTTAAAGTGGACGTCATCTTGCCAGGAAGTGACCTATACACATGATTTTATTTCCATCCTCTGGTATAAACATGGAATGAATCTTTCTTTTTGTTATTTCAAAAATAAATATTATCTTTTAATGACGAATGTATCATCCAAACTTGTCGGCTTTATCTCGTATCCAAGAATTTAATTTCTTTTTTGCTGATCGCTTCCTTTATGATGATGGCGCTGATGACTAAATTCGCTGCCAACGTACAGGTTCAGAGCTAGAACCTTCCACTATCACAAAAACCTGGTCCCGTCATCTATTCCATATCGCAATTTGGCTTTGCTAGATTTGCCTGGAGGTGAAACAAAATCAATGTAGAAGAAAGGGCCAATGGTGTGAATTTGTTTAAGGTGGACGTCATCTTGCCAGGAAGTGACCCACACACTTGATTTCATTACATTCCTCTGTGGTACGTATTGAATGGAGTCAGACAGTTTGACCAGCACAGCGGAGACGAATCTCCAACTGCAGGATATCTACAAACCACCTCACGCTGCCAGATGTAGCACAAGGCCGAATTTAATGTGGGGTATCCGACCCCGTAGGCTCGGCCCAAAATTTCCCGTAGACCACGTATAAAACGGGGTCGGGTAGCGTCGTCTGAGGATCCTCTCTGCCCGTAGTCAGAGAGTTTGACCAGTAGAGCTGGAGACAAATCGAATGATTTCGGGTTCCTCCCCGACCGAAGGCAGAGAGGAACCCGAATGATTTCGGGTTCCGCCTTGCCCGAAGGCTACGCCGAAGGGCGGATTCTCTTTCGGGGAGGTAAACAGCCCTGAACCCGTGTTTACGGGTACAAAGGGCATAATTTTGGCGAGCCCACGGGCTTGGAGATCCCACGTTAAACCGGCCTTGTGCCACATGATGCCCTCGTTGGGAGGAGGGGTGACTAAATACCGTTCAGTCTGAAGTCGGGCGACCGGCTGACCGGCTGATCGGTTGAACACTCTCCCTTCGGGCGGGGAGGAACCCGAACGAGGCTACGCCGAAGGGCGGATTCTCTTTCGGGGATGTAAACCGACCCTGAACCCGTTTATACGGGTTCAAAGGGCATATTTTTGACCGAACCCACGGGCTCGGAGATCCCACGGGCTCGGAGATCCAACGTTAAACCGGCCTTGTGCCACATGATGCCCTCGTTTGGCGGGGGTGACTAAATACTGTTCCGTCTGAAGTCTGGAGTGAGGTCCGTCAGAAGTCTGTCAGACAGTCAGAGCGAGCGAGTCAGTCAGTCGAGTCAAAGGCAGTCCGAAAGAAGAGTCACGATCAGACAATTACTACAAGACATTGGAATAGTGATACTGGTCGAGACTACATTGTTCTCCCTACTAAACCTGATTGTTCGTACTAACCCTTTCTACTTCTCTGTTTGTAATATATCTGTGTTATTCCATATCCGTGTTCGAGTTCTTCTTTATTGGTTCGACCTTGGACCATCACCGTGGTACAAGGACCTGAACCATAACAAAGTTAAAAACATATGAAGAGAAACCTAACAGACTTTGAAAAATAACGATTATATAATTATCTCCTAGACTAATCCACGGGTTAAACTCACGACACCATCGAATCTCAACAGGGAAACCAATTTGCAGTCCATCATAATACGACTGTTATCCATTCGATATTAACTAGTCTGATTATGAAACCGACTATTTTTCTATCATCTTTATGGCTGGATGATTTTGTAATTCCTATTTTGGACTGTCTGTTTTGCTTATCACCATGGATTTGGTCTTCTTACATTTAATAGTTAGTCCTTTCTTCCTGCTTTCCTCGACTTACTGGCGAAACATTTCTTATGGTTTTCCTTCTTTATCTAACAGCAACACATCAGCCTAACCTATTTTGTATTGCTACGGCCACCGATAATAAACCCTTGTAAGACTTGTATTAGGTCATCCCATAAGTTCTGTCCGAATTTTAAATATTTGTTAAAATGAACGAAATTTAAAGAGTATTTTATAATGTCTAATGGAGCTGAACATTATTTTTATGTTTAGATGCATTTAACCTGATCAAATTTTATTTCAGAGAACAATAAAATTAAGTTTTGTTTGACTAAAATCCTGCTAACACGAAAGTACCCAAGAATCATTTGAGACACATAATGCTTTATGAGTTCAAGAATGGAAACTCAGCAGCCAAAGCTGCTGAGTTTCCATTCTTGAACTCATAAGTATCTTAAATACATAAGTATCAGTTTATGGAGAGGTACATATGAATGAAAGAACTTGCAGAAGATGGTTTGCAAAATTCAGAGGTGGAGATTTCACACTTGAAGATGAAGATGGAATCGGACGTCCAGTTGAGTTTGATAAAAAGCTTCTTGAATCAGCCCTTGAAGAAAATCCTGCTTTATCAGTTGAGGAATTGGCAGTGGTTCTCACTTCAAACCATACAACTGTTCATCGTCATATTTAACAACTTGGAAAACATCCTAAACTTGAAAAAACAAACAAATAAAGATAAAAAAAGAAAGAAAAAACAAACGAATAACAATATAAAAAGAAAAAAAACACAAACGAATAAAAATATAAAAAAAGAAAAAACAAGCGAATAAATATATAAAAAAGAAAGAAAAAAGAAACTAATAAAAATATAAAAAAGAAAAAACAAACGAATAAAAATATAAAAAGAAAGAAAAAACAAACGAATAAAAATATAAAATAGAAAGAAAAAACAAACGAATAAAAATATAAAAAAGAAAGAAAAAACAAACGAATAAAAATATAAAAAAAGAAAAAACAAGCGAATAAAAATATAAAAAAGAAAGAAAAAACAAACGAATAAAATATAAAAAAGAAAGAAAAACAAGCGAATAAAATATAAAAAGAAAGAAAAAACAAACGAATAAAAAGAAAAAAAGAAAAAACAAGCGAAATAAAATATAAAAAAGAAGGAAAAAACAAACGAATAAAAATATAAAAAGAAAGAAAAAACAAACGAATAAAAATATAAAAAAGAAAGAAAAAACAAACGAATAAAAATATAAAAAGAAAAAACAAGTGAATAAAAATACATAAAGAAAGAAAAACAAACGAATAAAACTATAAAAAAAAGAAAAACAAACGAATAAAAATATAAAAAGAAAGAAAAAACAAACGAATAAAAATATAAAAAGAAAGAAAAGACAAACGAATAAACATATAAAAAAAAAAGAAAAAATGAACGAATAAAAATATAAAAAAGAAAGAAAAAACAAGCGAAATAAAATATAAAAAAGAAAGAAAAAACAAACGAATAAAAATATAAAAAGAAAGAAAAAACAAACGAATAAAAATATAAAAAGAAAAAAAACGAATAAAAATATAAAAAAGAAAGAAAAAACAAGCGAATAAACATATGAAAAAAGAAAGAAAAAACAAGCGAAATAAAATATAAAAAAGAAAGAAAAACAAGCGAATAAAATATAAAAAGAAAGAAAAAACAAACGAATAAAAATATAAAAAGAAAAAACAAACGAATAAAAATATAAAAAAGAAGGAAAAAACAAACGAATGAATATATAAAAAAGAAAGAAAAAACAAACGAATAAAAATATAAAAAGAAAGAAAAAACAAACGAATAAAAATATAAAAAGAAAGAAAAAACAAACGAATAAAAATATAAAAAAGAAAGAAAAACAAGTGAAATAAAATATAAAAAACGAAATAAAAAACAAACGAATAAAGATATAAAAAAGAAAGAGAAATTAATAGGCTGATGAAAGAAAGAGCAACAAGAGAATTCAATTGAAAATGTTGAGGAAAAACGAAAGAAAGACGTCGTAATGTGTAACGTTTTCTGAGAATCAGTGGAACATATCGCGGAATAAAGAATGAGATGGAAAGAACGTAATTTGGGCACAACAGAAATCTGTTTAAGATCGTCCAATCATGGTTCATCCGAAATCTGTGTAAGTGTGCGCTGTATTCGTTGGTGAGGCATCTGGGTAAGTGATCGGGTATCGAGGATAAGGCGTAGGCGTCTGAATTACAACGCAAAGATATCCGGGTAAAATTCTATCAATATTGATTGGACAGAATGGTGTAAAGCTAGGGGTCTATTACAAAGTGCGCATGCGCAACCGGAAAAAAATAGTTTGTGTGTCCTGACACGTGATCACAGTCATCGACTTAGGTTCGCTTGTGTCCACTCAACTTGCGTTTTCATCGTTTTAGCTAGTGATTATTTGATTATTCGTGCTGATAATTTGTTGTTGGGAGTCGGGAAGAACGGGGTAGGTTACTCCCCCACGAAAAAAATGCCGAAATTAGGAAGTTGTAGCATTCACCGAATTTGCTATCGTTACTCACTCCCATTCAGCCAACTATAATTTCATATATATCAAACTCAGACATATTAAGCGACTGACATAGATATAGGACTAGATAGCTATGGACAGACTTAGATCAATAACAGATGAACAAATGAAAGATAAATATCGAATATACTTAGATATATATATATATATATATATATATAGATATAGATAGATAGATAGATAGATAGATAGACTGAGACATGAAAAACTGCGATAAATACATTGATTTGTTTTATTAATATTGATAATGAGCAGAATGAGATAGATAGATAGATAGATAGATAGATAGATAGATAGATATGAACATCCTGAGATAGATAGATAGATAGATAGATAGATAGATAGATAGATATGAACAAAATGAAACATGAATAAACTGCACCAGATATATATATATATATATATATATATATATATGTGTGTGTGTGTGTGTGTGTGTGTGTGTGTGTGTGTGTGTGTATATATTAGAATAGACAACCGGCTAATAGATACATATGAATGCGCGGGAACGCAACCATCCATCCCCACCACACACACCCATATATATATATATATATATATATATATATATATATATATGTGTGTGTGTGTGTGTGTGTGTGTGTGTGTGTGATAGATAGATAGATAGATAGATAGATAGATAGATAGATAGGATATGAGAAGAATTAACTGGCTTTTTATCCAGGATTTGATAGATAGATAGATAGATAGATAGATAGATAGATAGATAGATAGATGAAAGAGAGTGACTTATCTTTGACCGACTTTAAATTTCGCGACGCACCGCTCCTGGGGTTGAGATAGTTATATTGAACGCTATCGATGTGTTATTATTATTATTATTATTATTATTTTAAGATAGATAGATAGATAGATAGATATGACCAGAATGTGGTAGATATGAAGAGACTATAAAAACTATATAGTTGTTTTTGTAATTATTAGATCCTATTTAGGTTTCCAGTCGAGGTAGCAGCATTTAATGCGTTCATATTGATTTCAAGATCTCTTTTACTCTTTTCTATGTCTGCCAATGACCTGGAATTATGTTACTATATGTGACGATGAAATTGAACACATGGGAGAAGCGTATCCATGTTTTCCCGAAAGCTAACAAGGCAAACCAAAACAGTTTTAGATAAAATTTCGCCAAAAAGGTTTTCACTTCTGGTAACCGTTACCCAATTCCAGGGCCACTGTGACTCCATCTCGCTCATTCTCTCTTTTTCTCATTCTGTTTTTAACTGTCACTCTCACACACATCCTCTACCTCTCTCTCACATACACATACACACACTGTTTTTTGGTGTATACCGGGTGTATCAGCAAAATTGTCCAATTGTTAGATTAAGCTCTGTACCGTTGTATCTTAGAAATGATTAAAGCTATCTTACTGGAATTCTCCGAGGTTTTTACAACACTATTGAACTCTACTTTCATCAATAAGAATGTATTGCGATAGACCATCATGCTGTTACCCAATCTGGGCAATTGTAGTTTGGTTTGTTTGGGTTGACGGCATATCAACACCTCAGTGGGTCATTTAATGCCGGCAAGATTTTTATTGCCGGTAATATTTTTCTTAAAAATGTATCTACTTTTACGCACAAATCTTAGTCATAAAAACTCAGCTTATTCATTTGCACACACACAAACAGAGATCATATATACATACACACACACACACACACATATATATATATATATACATATATATATATATATATATATATATATATATATATATATATATATATATATATAAGATTATTACCTGCAGAACATTTCGCCTAGTTAAATAAAAAAAGTATTCTTACCTAAATACCCCACAAAAGAAATCGTTAAATATACGTAGGAAAAAAAAAAAAAATGCCGTAAGAATTTTAGCCGTTAACAATATAAATTTTAAATTAAAAAAATCCAGACGACACGCTTTTAACGGAAGTTAGATTTCATTGAAAATACACCCCTACCCACTACAAAAGTGACAATAACTGATACATTAAAATATAGACATATTGAACACCTAGACACCCCTGTCTAGAAAAATAGATTTATCTTTAACCTTGGAAACATGAATTTTGTTTTAGCTGTGTATTTAAAACCCAGTGATTTTAAAAGTTACTCCAAAATTCGCTTGAGGATGAAATGGAACTAATGTCTTTAATTTAATTCCAAAATTAAATTCGGGGCTTTTAGCTTCCATTTTTGAAACATGGTTAGAACTGTGTAGCGGAAAAAACCATATTTTAAATCAATAAATTTATGATATTAATGCTCTGTAAATTTACATCGAGCACTATTTTGTAAAAATATCTGTAAGAACACCGGATTATATATCTTACTGTTCTTTCTTTTATATATATATATATATATATATATATATATATATATATATATATATATATAATACTAAAATAATTCTAAAGGAGCCAGACAAAGCTACCTAGTTTCACCTAGTCAGTTTTACCCTGAAGATCAGTTTAGGTGAAACCTAGGTAGGTTAGGCTGGCTCCTTAGGATTGTTTTATCGCTATACTTAGTTTATTGAATATTTTACGTTTAGTCTTTTACTCGTTTTGTTTTTTTATTCTTTGGAATTAGAACTCAAGCACTTGACGAAAGAATTCATACATTGTTATGTTCTTGGTTCTTTCTTTTGTTCCCGGACATCAATTAAAAATTGAGCCAACGGAGGGACATCAATTTTTTATATTAAAAGTTGAGCCAACGGATTTTGGATTTCGTCAAGATGGAAAACTTGCCATTTAAGTATGAACCATTCATATATATATATATATATATATATATATATATATATATATGAACTGTATGCTATCTGCAACTGCTTTCTCCGATATATCATTAAAATGGCTTCGAGCGAGTGAAACCGGTAGGCATTATCAAGGCCTATCATTCTTTGAACTTTGTTGACTGGCGCTAAATATAGAACTATACCAGATAACTGAGACAACATCACTTAGAGACTTTCAACAGCAGCAACAACTAAAATGATTAGCACATGTAAAAAAGAGAAAATGATGATATAATCAAGATTCTGGCGTTACACACTACATCAGCTAAAATACAAGAGGGAGAGGCTTAATCAGTACTGGAAAGACCAATAACAGCTACTGGCT